TGAGTCAAAACAAGTAACACTTTATAGAGTGTTAACTTTCATATGAACTCAGGAAATGGAAGCGGTGACATCACAATTGCCTTCCATTCCCTTTGTGATTATGGTTTTTTTTTTTTTTTTTAAATCAGTTTCTGAGAAGAACTTACAGAACATTAATAAAAATCTTGGGATTAGGGCTACTGATTAGAGATATTAAAATAGCAACGATGACCAAATGAAAAAACTTGTAAGAAGTCTAATGCAAATAGGAAAGCAGCTTGGGAATTACACAGAGGGATCCAATAGCACAGTCCCCTCGACACTCCCGTCAGTGCCACTGTTGCTATCCACGGGACACGGGAGGTGGGGGACGTTCTACTGCCTTCATACGTGCATCTGTTATTTTGCTAACTTCATCTCTTAGATGACAAGGACAACATGCAGGATATGAATCAGACCATGCCTCATGAGCAAGGAACTCATAGCGCCTCAGGTCTGGTATTACTGCTGTGGGCCTTGAGAGAGGGTACCAAGTACCTTCTCCTCAGTGTGGACACAGAGGAGAGGAAAGAGGTGGTGAGGCCGGTCTGAAGGACATGAGGATGGAGTAATGGCCTGGTCTGCTGAGGAAGGAAGTGATCTCCAGCAGATCCAGCAAGCACACACTCAGCTAAGGGCTGTCGGCCAGCAGAGGTCCTGCTGGATCTGTTTCTTCGGCTATGTAAATAAGCGCTGTTGAAGAGCTTGGAAATAGTTTGTCATCCTCATTACTCTAAAGGACCCCTCAGATACCAGCTAATCCCACTGACCTCACTGCCTCCTTTCTTCTCCATCCCACTACTATTGTAGTGGCTAAGGGCTAAGGAGTAATTTCTCTCCTTTTGGTTACCGCGTCCTCACCTCCCAGTGTTCGTGTGATGCAAAGAAACATCAATGTTTCTTTCCTGAGAGGGGCGGGAGGAGGCTGTAAAATAACCTGGGACAGGGCCAGGCACTGTTGATAAGTTCTGTTCATTTTGTCAGGCTGTCAACAGGTGCTAGGCATACAGATGACCAAGTCATGGGCTCTGCCCTCCAGCAACTCAGACTGCTGCATGGGAGGAAATTCCAGCAGCAAAGCGAGCGGTGACATGTCACTCACTCTATAATCCCCATGAGTGGGGTTCTGGGTGCACGTGGTGGCCTGTAGAGCTCCATGAGGCTCAGCTGCCCACCAGCACGCTGGAGACAGGAGCTCCACTCTGCGAACTCTCCCAGTTCCCTGCTACTCAATGGAATGGTCGAGAGGCCACCTCTCCACCATACCTTGTCAGCTGAGCTCTTGGAGTTTTCAGACCCTGCCACATAAGCCCCACAGGGGCACCTTCCTGTGATCTGTGGCCTTGGTAATGTGGCTTCTCCAGAGGCTGAATACACAGTGGTATTTCATTACAGGGGTCACTATTGGTGCCCCAACTCCCCTCCCCTTTGGTACGTGGTCTTTTCTATTATTCAGGTCAGGAGAATGAGGCTGAATACACAGTGGTATTTCATTACAGGGGTCACTACTGGTGCCCCAACTCCCCTCCCCTTTGGTACGTGGTCTTTTCTATTATTCAGGTCAGGAGAATTATCTTTCTACCTTGAACTTTCTCCCTTTTGCCAAATAAGTTTTTTCTCTTAAGACATAGAAACAAAAGGAAATTCCTGCTCCTGAAATACTGGGTGGATGTTACGGGACCAAACAGTCTCTGTGAGGCTCATAGCTCTTGCAGGCAACATTCCAGCTGCGTCCTCCACTCTTCCTGGCAACACTTCACAGCAGTTGGCTGGTTTTGGACTATACCTCAGGGCAAATCTGCTTTCTGGAGGGTTCTATCTGCTTCTGCTGGTGCCATGCATGTGGGAGACTGTTATAGCATGAGGTAAAAAGGCTGTAGATGCAAAAGAGGGACTAGCCAGGCATACGTGCAGGTGGGAGAGGGAGGGTTTGGCCTCTCCAGCCCAGGACTGACTGGTCGCTTCTGTGCTGTAACCATCCTCTTGAATAAAATATAAGGGCAAAACTTCTAACAAGCACAAGTGCACTGAGAATATTTACAACCAAAACCATCTTAGAAAATTGGGGGTGGTGGTGGGGGTGGTGTGTTTGTCAAATTCAGGGTAGAATAGGGAGTTGATTACATGCTAGAACTTGAAGGACCATTAAAGGAAGATTCCAACTTTTGAGAGTAATTCTTGTGAATTATCTGATGTTATTCTATATTAAATAATCATTATATCAAAGATAACACTTGTCATCTTAGCGTTGGCACCTGATTACTCTAAAAGCCCTGGACAGCAGAAACAGAGAGCTAAGGTGAATCAAACACTTCCACCTAAAGGCACAGGGCTTTTCTTCGAAAAGGCTGAATGGATTGGCCACTTCCTCCCATTTAGTCAAGACTCTCGTGCATGCTATTTGGATGAGGAAGGTTGGAAGATGACAAGTGTGGCAGACTTCCTTAAGGGCGGTCTCTAACTGGTCTGTCAATACAGCTGGTGCGGAGCCTGACTACTAAGTGCTTTGCACTTAATTGTTCTCCAAAGGTCCTCGACTGACAGAGACCCAAGGAGCTGTGAGAAGACTGAGTAAATCCGTTAAAATGACATAGAAGAATTAACCCATAAATAGGAGCATGATCATTTTTTGTGGCCACGATGGAGATGGCACTGAAGAGTGGAATCAGAGGCTGAGTACCATAAGCAGCCTACATTTATTTACAAGCCACTCTGCTATGTATCATACCAAAAAAAAAAAAAAAAAAA